GCACTAGCTCAAGGGTTTTAAAGAGCAGTCACTTTGGTACTCACCAACACACATACGAGAAAAGAAAATTCTGTGAACAGTATCGGAATAATTTTAGTAAGACTTGGGGTCTGAGGCTGGTTATGGTACTTTGGGTAGACATAGGTTTAGACAGCCCCGTCGTCATGTTTTCTGCCGTCATATGTTTACGTAGAGCAATGGGTAAAATAACACTTTCTCCATTATATAGGCAGAACGTCAGTAGCCTTTTTGGATTTCCTACCTTTGGATTAAGCGATCCAAGAGTAAGCCTCGAAGGCAATGTGTCCACTCCAAGAAAAAGCTGGAACAGATACATTACGAATTTGATGTAATACCAACACCGGAAAAATAAGCAAGTGTTTCTTGAAAAGGCTTGGTTGGGTGTTGGCGACGGTCAGATAAGGTAAGAGGTGCGATTCCTGTTAAGACTGATATCGAGCTCAATGAATGAAAACGACATATGGTCACCGTAGGTATCATCAACGACCCTCTATGTAAATTGCCAGGGAGCTGAGAATGGTACAGAGCATTTTCTCTGTAGCTGTGCGGCCTTCGTCAGTTTGAGATGGTGCATTTTGGGGCAGATGTATTGAAAATGGACCAGCTACATTCTCTTTCCCTCGACCAACTACTAAGGTTCATACAAAAGTTGTTAAATTTGTCGAGGAGTTCTGTTTTTTCCCACCCAAAGAGTGTTATGTAAAATGGGCAACATTGTCTTACTATTTTTAAGTTCGTTTTGCGCTTTCAAGGCTACCACAATTCTAATCTATTCTGACTACCCGAGAGAAAAAGTTTTTAGGTCCGTTTGGCCATAGGTTATGCGCAAATAAGCAACTCACTTAGACCTTGAAGGTCCATTGAGATTATGTACTCTGCGCAACACGGGAACCTCAGTGACTCTTCTGCATATAACTATTTTGAAGCTCCTATAAAGCGTAACACTGGCTTTATTCCTACACTGGATAATTCCGTAAGAGAGCTAAAGAAGCGCCTACCTAAAAATCCTGCTCTGCTCTTAGCCAAATCTTGGCAACTGCAGAAGAAGAACTCTACGGTTTCTCACTCTTCTCATCTCTGCAACTTCTGCAANAGCAATAAGGAAAGAATACTCGAAAGCTGGACAGTGATGCACCTTAAAATGAGAAAACCTGTTCTACCAAGACTCAAAAACTTATTTTGAGGAAGTATGCCCGCTGAGAAGAAATAGTCAAAGGAAAAATGTCTCATGGCCGAAATCTTAGCTTACTCGCAACCTCGCAAGAGGTTCAAGAGATATCTGAAAAGGCCATTTGTCAAAATTAAGTGTTTTGAGAACTTTGGCAATGATATTGATAATGTCAAAGGATCTGAAAGGCAGTAGAAGATACCAAAAGATGACTCAATTCTCTAAAAAAAATCTGATGGACCTTGCAACACTCTCTTGCCATTTACTGGGAAAGAACTTAATTCCTGAAGCAGGAAAAGCAACCAAGCTATTGAGACACCAGTGATATTTTCTCTAACCGCCTTTGACGACTCTAAATTCCCGTTAAAGTAAAGGAGAGACAGGCTAGCAAGAGCTGTAATAAAAGTGTTTAGGGTCTTTCGGGAACTTGGCCCTCAATTTCCAACCCGTGAAGGATAACTATGAACTAGCAAAAGGCTACAGACCTTTGCGTCTAGCAATATTCATGCTGAAAAGCCTGGAGCATTTGGTCTAAAAGTGCACTAGCTCAAGGGTTTTAAAGAGCAGTCACTTTGGTACTCACCAACACACATACGAGAAAAGAAAATTCTGTGAACAGTATCGGAATAATTTTAGTAAGACTTGGGGTCTGAGGCTGGTTATGGTACTTTGGGTAGACATAGGTTTAGACAGCCCCGTCGTCATGTTTTCTGCCGTCATATGTTTACGTAGAGCAATGGGTAAAATAACACTTTCTCCATTATATAGGCAGAACGTCAGTAGCCTTTTTGGATTTCCTACCTTTGGATTAAGCGATCCAAGAGTAAGCCTCGAAGGCAATGTGTCCACTCCAAGAAAAAGCTGGAACAGATACATTACGAATTTGATGTAATACCAACACCGGAAAAATAAGCAAGTGTTTCTTGAAAAGGCTTGGTTGGGTGTTGGCGACGGTCAGATAAGGTAAGAGGTGCGATTCCTGTTAAGACTGATATCGAGCTCAATGAATGAAAACGACATATGGTCACCGTAGGTATCATCAACGACCCTCTATGTAAATTGCCAGGGAGCTGAGAATGGTACAGAGCATTTTCTCTGTAGCTGTGCGGCCTTCGTCAGTTTGAGATGGTGCATTTTGGGGCAGATGTATTGAAAATGGACCAGCTACATTCTCTTTCCCTCGACCAACTACTAAGGTTCATACAAAAGTTGTTAAATTTGTCGAGGAGTTCTGTTTTTTCCCACCCAAAGAGTGTTATGTAAAATGGGCAACATTGTCTTACTATTTTTAAGTTCGTTTTGCGCTTTCAAGGCTACCACAATTCTAATCTATTCTGACTACCCGAGAGAAAAAGTTTTTAGGTCCGTTTGGCCATAGGTTATGCGCAAATAAGCAACTCACTTAGACCTTGAAGGTCCATTGAGATTATGTACTCTGCGCAACACGGGAACCTCAGTGACTCTTCTGCATATAACTATTTTGAAGCTCCTATAAAGCGTAACACTGGCTTTATTCCTACACTGGATAATTCCGTAAGAGAGCTAAAGAAGCGCCTACCTAAAAATCCTGCTCTGCTCTTAGCCAAATCTTGGCAACTGCAGAAGAAGAACTCTACGGTTTCTCACTCTTCTCATCTCTGCAACTTCTGCAATATTCGTAGGAGAATATTCCTATTCTGAAAGAGTGCCTGCCAAATAGCCAATGACCGATTATATAAGCCGCGACCATCGCAATATCCACTCCTTTTTTTTACCTATTTTTGGCCATAGTAGTGTGGTTCTACAATTGCCGTCTTCTAGCCAACCCTGTTAGTCTCTTGAATCATGTTATTTCCAATCCCTCTGCTTTCACATAGGATTGCTATCTTTACTCGCTAACTCACCGGCCCTGTAATTTCCTTCAATATCTCTACGGCTCGGGGGACCCATATGAAACTAACCTTGAATACGGCGCTAATATCGGTTAGAGCTGCGAGGCATTCCTTAGTATTACTGCGTTCATTGAATTGATGGCCGCCGCAGTCCGAGAATATATTAACCGTAGTCTTCGTACTAAGGTATGCTGTAGTAGTCGGGAATTCCTAATTCCTTATAGAAAACTTCATAGCGAACCCTACTGTCTAGCTTGGTTCCATCCGTGTAAAAATTCAATTCACCACTCCATTGGCTTGGTGCTTGTCAGTCTCTTCTTGACGGAATGTTCGTCTCAAAGAGCCTTATCGAAGGTGGGTTGGGCGAAGTAGTCGATTTCTTGGTTATAACTGCCCAGAGTGTGAAGTACGGAAGCGTGGCCGAACCACTAATCCTTCCACTGCACCATAATGTCAGAGCGTCGAAGCAGCGGCCACGCAGTTCCTTACCAGGTTTATTGCAAGCAAATTGGTTAATACTTCTAGCACATTGTTTGGGGTGGCCCTTAAGGCACGTGAAATGCATAAAAAACGCTGTTCTCTGGACTTTACTCAGTAGTTTTAAGTAACTTGTCTTTTGACTTGCTGGCCACCATACAAGTATTCCATATAATAGTATTGACCCGACAACCGAAGTGTAAAGCCAAACAATTATTTACAATATTCAGTGCAATGTAGAATAACAATATGGGTGAACAATGAAAGAAGAAATTTGTAAAATAAAAAAAAATAAAAAATCACAACGACGAATATGGATTATTATTAATTTTCTTACCTAATAAAATTAAAAGAACGAAATTCGAGTATGTATCGCGTAATTTTTTCAAAAATAAATATTACAAATTTTCGATGATATTCAAGGACACAATTTTAAAAGGATATTTTCAAAACCTTTTCGTCGTTATGCTAAAAAAAATCGATCAATACGACAGAATTTTCTATTTTTATTGTTATTATATATTGGACTAAATTGTTTCAATAATTTTTTTTAATTAATCATATTTTTTAAGTTTCAATCTCCTTTAAAAAAATCCTGACGTCAGATAGAAAAACTAAATACGCAGTTAAGTATATTAAACTTAGCCCCTAGTTTCGCGAGTATATAGATTTTCTTGTGTGTAAAATTTACTGTCGCTCGGTGTTATTAGCAAAAAAATGTCTAATCGCAATAAGTGTTTTTAGAAGTTGACTAGTTTTGTATCTAATTATTATCACTATATCTCACGTTTGCGATCCTGCCCCTTTGAAATCAATTTCATTTTTGATTTCTCTACTATTCGGACCTTCATTGCAGAATATCGACAAAAACTACAGTGTACCTGTGTGCACGAGTTCGACTATGTTTAAATATATGGAAATTGTTTTATGTGAATGCCCAGCGGATCAACACACGAGCCTTTAGAGAGGTGTCACAAAATGTGCGCAAACGAGCTCGTATGAGAGCACACACATTTTTNACCCCTTTGAAATCAATTTCATTTTTGATTTCTCTACTTTTCGGACCTTCATTGCAGAATATCGACAAAAACTCCTGTGTACCTGTATGTACGATTTCGACTATGTTTAAATATATGGAAATTGTTTTATGTGAATGCCCAGCGGTTCAACACACGAGCCTTTAGAGAGAGTGTCACAAAATGTGCGCAAACGAGCTCGTATGAGAGCACACACATTTTTTTCTTTTCCGATTTTTTGATACTAAAGCCCTCACACACGATCATTTGCAGCTTGAAATTTGTGACAAAAATTTAGTTTTGCCGCGTTAAATCTCGCATTGCACTCGCATGCGGTGTAATTTGCGAGCATTTGGTCCGCTGGGTTTAAACATATGCACGAACAAGTACATATATTTTAATTAATATTTCTATATTGCATTTCAAACACATAACTATTACACTCACCTTTTGTGTTCGTCTGAATGGATGACATAGGTATGGCAACACAATTTGATGCCGCCTTCGTCGCTGATGTCCGTCTCTGCATTTGCTGCATCTTCTCATCCGGTGGCTCGATGCGCGGACACAAGGTATAGGCGACCTTACTGCCACGTCCTGGTGTTGGACTAATACGCGAATGGCGACCACCAGCGCTTACTGCCGTCGCAGCTGCTGCTGCTATGCGCTCTGCCATTGCGGAAGACCACAAACTGACAAACACGCGCGTCTAATTTGATTTACGCACAGCACAAAAAGCAATTATTTGCGCCACATATGCCGCTGCGTTGATGCTGCGTATTTTCATAGCCATGCGTACGTTTACTTATACTCTCACACAGGCATTTACATATTTTATTTACACAACACACGCGCGCGCGCGTAAACAAAATTAAAGCATTGTTTTAGGCGCATTCACCCATTTCTGTTGTTGCTTAGCATTGTTGAATAAATAAACCGCTTATTATAAGTTGACCCAATGCGAGTGTATAAAAATACAACTGCAATGAGGGCTGGACCGTCCAGCTGGCACAAGTGCAAAAATAAAATGAGTAGCAAATAAATGGCGAAATGGAAAGTAAAATTGTCTAGGAGTTATTATTTAATGACAGTGGCAAGCGGCAGCCGAGGCGCAGTGGCTGATTGGCTGTTGGCTTTGTGCCCAATGATGTGATATCGTTTTTTATCTTGTTGCCGCACAGGTTTGAAATGTTTTTAGGAGTGAAGGAAAAAGGGTACAGCTTTGAACTGAAATTGTTTTCAATTGCTCTGCATTATTTGCTTGCAAGAATTATTTTTAATGAGTATAATTATTGTGCTGACTTAAGAGCCATGAGTTCAAACACACAAAGCAGCACAAAAGTTCAACTATGCGGAAAGTAAAGGCAATGGACCAAGGTTGACATTGTGCAGCCAGTTCTCGAAATAAGAAAGAGACACAAGGAATGCCAGGGTACACCTTGACCGCGAGGCCGCAGTTCTAGCGTAAGACAGTCATTTCCAGAAATGTCTGCAAAACCGCGTATGTGAGGTTGCTGAAATTTTAACGGAAAGAGCGAAAACTGTCTTATATCGTCGGTTAGGTCTTTTCAGGCTAATTCTATAAATTGATATTATGGTATGAATCGAGGAGGCTTGGTGCTATGAGCTTCCGGTTATCAAATCTCATTTTTGACACAAATCTAAGTTATATTATGTAGATTCAGACTGCCAGCATTCACGTTGCCATTTCGACCAAATGCTTAACTAGAGTTAAGAGCTGAATAAGTTCCAAGATTTTAGCATGGCGTGATGGGCAAGATTGGACAAGAGACACCGCGACCTGAAAGAGTTTTTGGATATCTTAAAGAGAGAGAGTTACTAACCCAGTGTAGCCAAGATACCTTCGACCTCTCTAATGAATCCTAAAACGGCATTGGTAGGCGAATTCCTTGTAACAAAGCATTCGACCTTTGAAGCTTTAAAATGGGTTAATCTTTGTCTGACCAAAGCCGAACAGTGACATATAGTGAGTATAGTGAGTATATGCTCTGAAGTTTCATCATCTTCAAAGCAAACCCGGAATTTGGACTTTGTGATCACACCTATTCGGTGCGAATGGAATCACAATCGGCTGTGACCAGTCAGGTACCCATTTCTGTTGTTTCCTAAAATAATATCCTTTCTGTTGAAAGGGTATCCGAAGAGCCTGGCGTGTCTATGGCCCCTCACTGCTCCCCAGTACTTACTGTGTTCCGAGTGTACCCACTCAGTATGGCTCCCGAAGAAGACCATCATAAATCACAGAATTTTTCAGGTCCCAAAAAGGCAGTTAGCGATCATTCTCGTGCAAGCTCGTCAGTTACCACATTGCCTTCAATTCCACAATGGCCAGATACAGGGGAAGTGTTACCGTGTTTTTGGCTGTCAAAATTTTTAGAATGCCAAAGCAGTGATTTTAGCAGTCAAATGATGGCTGCTTGGCTATAACTGAAAAGATCACTAGAAAGGTGCCCTTCAAACACTTTTCACGGTTTATTGCCCATAGGAATTGCAAGTTTAGTGCTAGGTCCGAAAATACCTGCATCTGCTCTGTCCTCCATCCTTGAACCGTAAGTGTACCAGTGTAGGTATCTGGGATCAGGTTGGAGTGATTTCTAGAAGGTTAGGTTAGGTTAGATTGAAGTGGCTGCCAGTGACCCCACTATCACACGTAGGCCCTTAGGTTATGGGCCCGTTGTAATACCACACGGATAGTTATAACCCTCCTACTCAATCCATCGTCTGGATTTCGCGAAACCCAGAAGTTGCAGTATTCCTACCTCGGCTACGTCGGTTAGGTCTTCAAAGAATCCTGAACCCATAAACTTTCGTCTTCTTCTACAGAGTGCGGGGCATTCTCATAACAGGTGCCGAAGGGTTTATGGCTCTTCTTCTTTTCTGCAGCTTCTGCGAAAGTCGTACCTTCCGATAGCAACAGACCTACAGCTGCAGCTAGGTCCCTCAACATAAGGAGATCCTTCGACTGCTTTTTGTCCCATTTTGGCCACGTAAGTTTCGTACTGCTGCAAATGGTGAGACTAACCCACCTATCCCTTGCTAGTTTAAGAGATATTTATTATTAAAATGAGCTGGCATGTATCGAAGTAGAATAGATGTGCCTTCTCTAGCAAGTTCGTCTGTCTTTTCATTGCCTGAGCAGTCTGCTGTGCCATCTCAATTAGAGATTTGCGACAGTCCCTTATGGGTTTTTAACTGCATGTGATAGAATTGAGCGCTTTAAGTGTGGCCCAATGGTTGGCGATGTCGATGTATTTTTTTCATAAAAAAGTACGGTATTTTTGAGTACTGTGGTCAGCGTAGCTGGAGTTCGACTTACGACAGCAATTTTTTTTTTTATAAAAAAAATGGCATCGACGTCTACCTCGACAACCATAGTAGTGTGGATTGTTACGTATGACTTCTCTTGCGCGTAGGTGCTCAACCGCCTCCCGTATAGCAGCGACTTCAGCTTGAAAGACGCTGCAGTGGTTGGGTAAGCGTCTTGCTTAGGCCATCGGTGTTGAGGTATAATGATCCATTTTCATCAGGAGCCCCTCTTGACCAGCATGTTCTGTCTGGAATTAAAATCCTATACCTATTTCTGAAGTACACAAGTGGTGCACAGTAGTCCATGTAAGTTATATTTACGCTATTTAGGACTACGGTGTGGCCATCCTAAGTGTCTCTCCAGCCTGGTAGTTCCCTTAGCATCAAGGCGGCACACCCCGCTGATTGCTTACCTACAATTTCAATTGTAAAATATTGATCAGCACGCACATAGCCTCCGCTTTCCAGACAAACTGTCCTAACTCAGACGAGCCTATTTGTCTGACAAAGGTGAGATGGGACAGTATCTCTGACAGCGCTGAGTTAGTACAAAGTTAGGTTAGTTAATCGAGTTAAAATAGTCTTTCGAACGACGTTAAAGATGGGCTAGATTAACGGCTATCGACCAGTTGATATGAAGTAGCCCGGGCCGTCGATATGGCAAAAGATATTCCGGACGAAATATAGCCTCACAAACTAATTCGACTGTGGAATTAATACCCGTAAGAAGCTAACAATCGTTTACAAACACGCATTTCAAATAATCCAAACTTGTTTCGGTTTTAAGTGCATTTCTCTCACGCAATGCGGTAATGCTAAGGAGTTAAGTTAATCCCTTCATCCATTTTGCCGAGTTTTATTTCCTTTCAAATAGCCTACCACCTGCCTTCCAAGCGATTAGCCACGGCCACTTTAACCCGCTTGCACGATTGTCTATTTTTAAAGCTAAATTAAATCGCGTGTGATTTTTTCGACTCCTTTTTTAGTCCTCCTCTATGTCACGTTTTCATATTTTTATGTTCCATCGCATCACATTCGTCGTTTCTTAACATCGCTTGCTTTTACTTGAAATTTTGAATAGTCAAACACATATGTACATACACATTCGAGGCAAGTGCATACATAAAAACAGATGCGACGGTAGCGTCAGCGTCGCAAGGACACGTGCAAATTTGAAACACGTTTCACACGATTGCCGAATGCAGCGGCGGTTGCAGACGATGCGGTGTAGACAATGCCAAGGCACGACAGTGTACGAACACGCATTCGAATTGGGCTAACACATACACTATAACAAAAGTAACGGATTAAACGCATCTGATTGTTTTATTAAAGCCCTGTGAAAGTGCTCGCACAGTGATTTGCATCCTTTTGGCCATGAAGCTTAAAATACACTAACACTATTAACAACCGACAGCGACACTTTATTTGGCCTTCTCTACAAAGCAGCCATCTGACAAAAGAATGAAAGAAAGTGAGAGTAGTGAAAAAATACTATAAATATTATATGGCTCTTGCAACTGGATGTGGGATGGCTACATTATAGAGAAGTGCCTAGCCGTATCCGACTGCGAGGTAGTACGTACAGCCTAAACAAACAAAAAAACTAATGGACAAACAGACGAACACGCGACGTATAACCAAATGCTCATTCGAAACACTCAAAGCACACAGCTGCCCTCGGTGTCCTGTCACAAACTGCCGACAGCAGCCTCGCGAAATTTGCATTGAGTCCCGGCGCGACTGGTGGCACGAACACCAAAGCGGTAACGAACCGAAAAAAAGCGCAAACATGCAAGCAAAGTGAAATGCGAAAAGGGAAAACCCTAAAACGCTTTAAAGTCAACAACAAGTTATGCTGCATCGCCCACATGCCAGCCAACCAACTGCATTTCCTAGTCAGGTAGCTTTGCCAGCGCCAAATATGCAGCTACCTTATTGCATTAAAAGCTCGCGACGTGTTGCGTGTTATAGAGCTTTTGATGTTATTACAAATAACAGGACTAACTGGAAATAACGCGCATTGCGTATGACAATGACATTCGGCTGCGAGTAACTTGCCACCAGTGTTGCCATTTTAGAATTTTCCCACTAGATCCAGCCATTTTATTTTCTACTTAGCGGGAAAAATGAATTATGTTTTAATCATGGTTTACACAGCTTTCAAGTAAAATTTTCCTCTATGTAAACACAGTATTACATTTACATTTTGCAATGCAAAAAATCGAATGTACACTGAAACGTTACTTGCCATCCTAAATTTTTTACTCTTTTCGCGTTTTCAATATTGCAAGCAAAAGTTCCGCGGAGTGGATTAAACATCCAAAGTTAAAAGACTGGACTGTGGAAGATTTGAATGATTCCAAGAAAGCATTGTGCAAGTATTGCGAATGCAGTTTGAGCTGCAATTTACACTATCTACTTGCAAATGCTAATACTAAACG